ATTTTTCTAAATATTATTATCTACTCTTATTTAATATATATTGTATCTATACATGATTGGTGTGTGGTTGTATAATGCAACTTGTCTACAGTTTATAGTATTGATATCGTTTCATTAACAATGCATAGAAAGGAATAAATAAAAATTGTTTAGTGTTGAAGATATGGGTATTAATTTGATTTTTACTTGCTCACTGTTCATTGTGAAATGGATGATGGCATGACATTAGAGAGAGAACATCAGATACTACTATATTGCCGTATGAAATCAATTAACTCCTTTCCTTTGGTATAAAAGAGTGAACAAGAAGAGTTAACAGCCCCATAATGAAAAGAAATGTAGAGCTAAAACTTTTTTCTCATCATGGTGCAATTATCTTCTTGTTCACTCTTTTATACCAAAGGAAAGGAGTTAATCGATTTCATACGGCAATATAGTAGTATCTGATTTTCTCTCTCTAATGTCATGCCATCATCCATTTCACAATGAACAGTGAACAAGTAAAAATCAAATTAATACCCATACCCTCAACACTAAACAATTTTTATTTATTTCTTTCTATGCATTTTTAATGAAACGATATCAATACTATAAACTGTAGACAAGTTGCATTATACAACCACACACCAATCATGTATAGATACAATATATATTAAATAAGAGTAGATAATAATATTTAGAAAAATTTAGAAAAATTAATCAAAATTCAAGTTCTACTTTTAGTTGATAGGACTATAGGTTTTTATGTTGTCTTGAGTTCCTGGACTTTCAGAATATTATGAAAAGTTTATGTTCTTCAAATTTTTGTTGGAAATAATTTTCTCTATTCAAGTCACTGTTTGAATTCTTTATGTGAGTTACTATTACGAAAAAAATTCGGAATCATGTTTGTATGACTAATTATTGAAGTTGAAAACGTCCGACTCCTCAGGACTCTACAATGAAGACTAAAAAGTTCACTTGTTCAATTTTCTTATAAATTTCATAAATTGTTTTAGTTCGATCGTTCGCTTTTTTTTTTAAATAAACACAACATTTTTTGTTAGCCGAAGCAACATTTGAATGACCTTATAATCCCTTAACTCAATCAGGTCAATTATAAGCTAAGGGAGTACAAAGATAATTAATGCAAGAATTGGATTGTTTTTAAAAACTAATCTATCATTAAACTGTATTCAAATTGATCGATATGTATTTAATACATATCCAATATGCTTAACACAATCACATCGATTGTTATTCTTATGTTCAATAATATGTAAATAATCTTGAAATATTTGAAAATTTAAAACGTCTCTTATGAGAAACGAGTCATTTTATGTTATGAACAATCTCAAATAATATATATATATATATATTATTGATATAAATCAATAAAATAATCTGTACTATACTTTGATTCATTTAAAAGAATTTTTAAAAAGTTTTCATCGAAATCAAATTATGATTAAAATCAATCAAAAAATCAGAAATATTTTTTGCTGCTATAATAATTGAAGAAGAAAAATTTAAATTATTTATCTCGAAACATTTTTTTTAATCTCTTGTTTCATTGATTTCAAACGGAAAAATATGCTTACAAGTATTTTCTCGTATACAACAACAAAATAACAACCAAACAAACAAACATAACATTAATTATATTTCGATGGTTCATATTCATCCCAATTTTCACGTGGTCGATGATGCATACGTTGATAAGTTGTTTGACATGAACGTCCACGAAATGGTATTTTACGTGGTTCAAATAATACTAATTGAGCCGGTGTTTTATCATTATTTGTAGAATGTTGAATAGTTTCTTGTTGTTTTGTTCGTATAACAAATGGTATAGCTAATGGGTTTAAATTTGAATCGTGATCTTTTTCTATTATATAAATATTAGTAGAATTTGTTTTTTTTTTCTAATGGATGTTCCAAGAAAAATTACATTAAATCTCAGTGCATTTTTCTTTCGTTTTTCAATCATACAAAAAAATCCTTTTTACATCTAAAGATAGAAAATTTCAAGCTCTAAAAAATTGTCGACTTTGTTGTTTCTCAAATAACTTCCTTTAGTCTACACAAAATTTAGAAGAGAAGCACACCTACTTAGTCATCCAATTGCGATAATCAAAATAATAAAAAATCGACGATAATTTCTTTTTCATGAAGACAACTATCTCACAAAATTTTTTATAAAAATTCTGTATCTTTGAATGATTGTTTCCGAATTTTAGGAGAAATATTTCGGAATAAAAAAATCCAATGTCCAAAGATTGATAAAAGTTCTTTTCTAGTAGACTTTTGTTTTTTAATGCATCATAAGAAATCTTTCATAGAACAAATCTGACTTTTGAAAATATGAGTTTTCAAAATTATCGATAGTTATCAATTCTAAGTTTTATTTTTTCTCGTAAATAAAACTTTCGAAAACCTTGTAAAGGTCGTGAAGATGTAGCGCACAAAAGTCGACCATTATGTTCTTCGCCGAAAGTCACATCGCTGAAATTCAACGATGTGATTATCAACGATGTCACTGTTGGTGATATTCTAAGGTGATACCTGCAGTTTATATCTATACATATACAGGGTACGTAAAAATGTTTTTCCAGGGAGGTAACACTATAGTTTCAAATAGCATACATAACTAATTTTCTACCAAATTAAAGCGCGTCGAAAATAGGATTTTTTGATACTAAATTGTAAGAGTTATCAAAACTTTCTGATGTCGAACTTAAGAAATTTTATGGTTTTTTTGGAATAGGAAACTAAGGCATCAGTGATTCAAAAATGGATTTTAGTATTTTCTATTGATATGTTTACATGGTTCGATAGAGCTCGTCGAGCTCTACAAAACTGTCTATATTAAAAATTTCTTAAGCCAGTTTTCTGAGATGAAAAAATTAAAAAACACTTGCAAAATGCTAAAAAATGTTAAAAAACTCATTTTTTTTCATTTGTGAGGAAAATGTTCGACTTTTCAATAAAAACAGCTATTCCATTACTGTCACAAACAGAGACGTTCCGAAATGTAACCCCCAGATACAGCGTGAAAAACTGCGTCTAGTGATTACATTTCGAAACATTTCTGTTAGTGACAGTAATGAAAAAAGCTGTTTTTATTGAAAAATCAGGTATTTTCCTCACAAATGAAAAAAAATGAGTTTTTTAACATTTTTTAGCATTTTGCAAGTGTTTTTTAATTTTTTCATCTCAGAAAACTGGCTTAAGAAATTTTTAATATAGACAGTTTTGTAGAGCTCGACGAGCTCTATCGAACCATGTAAACATATCAATAGAAAATACTAAAATCCATTTTTGAATCACTGATGCCTTAGTTTCCTATTCCAAAAAAACCATAAAATTTCTTAAGTTCGACATCAGAAAGTTTTGATAACTCTTACAATTTAGTATCAAAAAATCCTATTTTCGACGCGCTTTAATTTGGTAGAAAATTAGTTATGTATGCTATTTGAAACTATAGTGTTACCTCCCTGGAAAAACATTTTTACGTACCCTGTATATGTATAGATATAAACTGCAGGTATCACCTTAGAATATCACCAACAGTGACATCGTTGATAATCACATCGTTGAATTTCAGCGATGTGACTTTCGGCGAAGAACATAATGGTCGACTTTTGTGCGCTACATCTTCACGACCTTTACAAGGTTTTCGAAAGTTTTATTTACGAGAAAAAATAAAACTTAGAATTGATAACTATCGATAATTTTGAAAACTCATATTTTCAAAAGTCAGATTTGTTCTATGAAAGATTTCTTATGATGCATTAAAAAACAAAAGTCTACTAGAAAAGAACTTTTATCAATCTTTGGACATTGGATTTTTTTATTCCGAAATATTTCTCCTAAAATTCGGAAACAATCATTCAAAGATACAGAATTTTTATAAAAAATTTTGTGAGATAGTTGTCTTCATGAAAAAGAAATTATCGTCGATTTTTTATTATTTTGATTATCGCAATTGGATGACTAAGTAGGTGTGCTTCTCTTCTAAATTTTGTGTAGACTAAAGGAAGTTATTTGAGAAACAACAAAGTCGACAATTTTTTAGAGCTTGAAATTTTCTATCTTTAGATGTAAAAAGGATTTTTTTGTATGATTGAAAAACGAAAGAAAAATGCACTGAGATTTAATGTAATTTTTCTTGGAACATCCATTAGAAAAAAAAAACAAATTCTACTAATATTTATATAATAGAAAAAGATCACGATTCAAATTTAAACCCATTAGCTATACCATTTGTTATACGAACAAAACAACAAGAAACTATTCAACATTCTACAAATAATGATAAAACACCGGCTCAATTAGTATTATTTGAACCACGTAAAATACCATTTCGTGGACGTTCATGTCAAACAACTTATCAACGTATGCATCATCGACCACGTGAAAATTGGGATGAATATGAACCATCGAAATATAATTAATGTTATGTTTGTTTGTTTGGTTGTTATTTTGTTGTTGTATACGAGAAAATACTTGTAAGCATATTTTTCCGTTTGAAATCAATGAAACAAGAGATTAAAAAAAATGTTTCGAGATAAATAATTTAAATTTTTCTTCTTCAATTATTATAGCAGCAAAAAATATTTCTGATTTTTTGATTGATTTTAATCATAATTTGATTTCGATGAAAACTTTTTAAAAATTCTTTTAAATGAATCAAAGTATAGTACAGATTATTTTATTGATTTATATCAATAATATATATATATATATATTATTTGAGATTGTTCATAACATAAAATGACTCGTTTCTCATAAGAGACGTTTTAAATTTTCAAATATTTCAAGATTATTTACATATTATTGAACATAAGAATAACAATCGATGTGATTGTGTTAAGCATATTGGATATGTATTAAATACATATCGATCAATTTGAATACAGTTTAATGATAGATTAGTTTTTAAAAACAATCCAATTCTTGCATTAATTATCTTTGTACTCCCTTAGCTTATAATTGACCTGATTGAGTTAAGGGATTATAAGGTCATTCAAATGTTGCTTCGGCTAACAAAAAATGTTGTGTTTATTTAAAAAAAAAAGCGAACGATCGAACTAAAACAATTTATGAAATTTATAAGAAAATTGAACAAGTGAACTTTTTAGTCTTCATTGTAGAGTCCTGAGGAGTCGGACGTTTTCAACTTCAATAATTAGTCATACAAACATGATTCCGAATTTTTTTCGTAATAGTAACTCACATAAAGAATTCAAACAGTGACTTGAATAGAGAAAATTATTTCCAACAAAAATTTGAAGAACATAAACTTTTCATAATATTCTGAAAGTCCAGGAACTCAAGACAACATAAAAACCTATAGTCCTATCAACTAAAAGTAGAACTTGAATTTTGATTAATTTTTCTAAATTTTTCTAAATATTATTATCTACTCTTATTTAATATATATTGTATC